AAATGTACTGCATGAAACTAGAAACTATGATACTGTCCAGGTGCAACTTTATAAACTATGACTGAGAAATGTACTGGATGAAACTGGAAACCATGGTACTGTCCAGGTGCAACTTTATAAACTATGACTGAGAAATGTACTGCATGAAACTGGAAACCATGATACTGTCCAGGTGCAACTTTATAAACTGTGACTGAGAAATGTACTGCATGAAACTGGAAACCATGATACTGTCCAGGTGCAACTTTATAAACTGTGACTGAGAAATATACTGCATGAAACTGGAAACCATGATACTGTCCAGGTGCACTAAACAATACAATATAACTACTCACTTACTGCTAGATTTTGTAAGGTAAAATTTAGCTAGTTTTGCTTGAAGTTTAAAACATAATTAATATTTTCAGAACCAGCTCATTTCCTTCAAATTTATCCTCGTTACTATACATGTAAACAAAAAACGAATAGAACCCAATAAATATAACACTGTATAACTGATTTGGGGCAATCTTTCATCACTTATGGGTTTTATTTTGACTATTTTATTATATATATTGTGTTTTAAAGTACGATACCGAAAGAACAAGATAATTCTAAATCCTTCTTAATAAGTTAGACTAAAACCGAATCCCAATTATCGAGTTTTTGATATATTTCCAGTAGAAGCAGAATACAAACCCCCCACCCAGTTGAAACAAGAATTCCTACTCTCTTTTAGTGCGTGACCATAAAAAAACTGAACAAGAGAAGCAATTCACTGAGTTGAGTAAAAAAGTTGTTACACTATATAAGCTACGACGATAAATCGGTCAACGAGAACTTAACAAAACTCAGAGCTCTTTTAGAGCCCACCTTTACCAAGTTCCATTTTGTTGACCAGAAAATATTCACGCTTAAAAGATAAAAGTGTTTCGTAAGATAGAACTTGTTTTTACTGCTTAATTCACGCCATTTTTACAGAGTTTCAGTGATTTTTCAACCTTATTACTGTTTAATGGTCGTATACACATGCATAAATACAACCGCCCTATGTGTGTTACGCAATAGATAGGGTTAACTGGTAAAAAAAAATAAATGCTTGGTATTTTAACTTTTTTCCTTGTTTCATATTTTTGGAAAATGTAGTGCACTTATGCGTCATCCAATCTTCCGAAATAATTAAAAAATTTTCTTGATTTAGTGCAGGCATTATTCTACTTCTATATGTTTATTGTTAGCGTAGGAACATGTAGGAACTAGTGGATTCAGTAACCCATTAGTTTACCTTTTCTTCGAGTCAGAAGAGACACCAGTAACTCACTAGTTTACCTCTTCTTCGAGTAAGAAGAGACACCAGTAATCCACTAGTTTATCTCTTCTTCGAGTCAGAAGAGACACCAGTAACCCACTAGTTTACCTTTTCTTCGAGTAAGAAGAGACACCAGCTTACTGGTGTCTCTTCTGACTCGAAGAAGAGGTAAACTAGTGGGTTACTGGTGTCTCTTCTGACTCGAAGAAGAGGTAAACTAGTGGGTTACTGGTGTCTCTTCTGACTCGAAGAAGAGATATACTAGTGGATTACTGGTGTCTCTTCTGACTCGAAGAAGAGGTAAACTAGTGGGTTACTGGTGTCTCTCCTGACTCGAAGAAGATCAACATAGCCGATTACTGATGTATCTTCAAGCTTAAGGTACCCCTTACATGATTCTTATTCTGTTGACAGTTCTAACCACAGTACAGATTAAATTCCAAACTTGGAGCCATCTAAATCGCTGTAATTTATTTTCTTGTAAGCTGTAAACAGCCCCATTTATATCGATTAAAAGTTGATTTTCCAGTCCGTTAAACCGGATCAGTAATTCAGTCCCCCTGGTGGCTCAGCGGTATACTTGAGGACACATAACGTTAAAATTCGAGCTTCGATGCCTGGGGGGAGGGGGAACAAAGCAGATAGCAAACTGTGCAGAATTTGTGCTTGAGCAAAACCACCCTGTCTATCTAATTATAATGAACCAATTATGACACCATTTTCGTGAAACTCAAGTCTAATACAAAGCCAAAATAAAATAAAATACGTGAAAATGTATTCGGAAACAAAGAAAGTTCCGAGTTATTTGGCCAGTATTTTTAATTCGTTTTATCCTCTCAAATGAGGAGCAAACTGAATATTCTTCTATATCGTAATCACGATTAAATGCTGTATAAAAGCGGGGAATATACTCTTCATATCGCCTTGGAATTTGTTCTCATTCTTCTTTCATCTCCAAACGGAATGCAGCGTAAATATTAATTTCCAAACCTGAAAAATCTACTACACCGAGTCACCATGGCGAAAAATAAAATAAAAATATGTGTATAAACAGAACAAGCTGGAAATTTTCATTCTAACGCTGATCATTTTTCGAGGGGAATTTTGCTGTCAGTATATTAACAATAAAGAAAACGAATGAATATCGTTATTAGAAAATTTATCATCTGAGAACATTCGTATTAAACTGGAAATTTTTACCAACCTCAGTAGCTCTCGACAGATGGCGCTCTAATTGTAGTCGTTCCTTCGATGACTGGCGAATAATTTTCTGCAATTCTTTGACGTCATTCTACGACGATATGAAATGATGATAAATACTTAAAGGAATTAATTTATAGGATAAAACTAAAACACGTCTTAAATAAGTAAGGCCGACAACTTTAGAAATATTAAATTCGTAAATTTATAAAATGAACCTGAAACTACATAAACATATACATTTATATATATATATATAAGAAAAGTATTTAACTAATGTATTACAAAATTCTGATGGACAAGAATCTTAGGAATGAGCATTTATGAAAATTAAATTCGTTACCTGTATTTAAGCCTAATTGTAGTAAATCAAACTTCTTAAAAAGTTCAATATTAACCAGGTCAACATCATACCAACTTTCATTCTCAGTTCGTTGTCAAACTCATAACTTTCGTCTCAATCATATAAACTTTGTTTCCTTGTTCATATCTAATATAAATTTAAAAAAACAATGCTTATAAACTTCAGCTCTAGCACGGTTTATATATAAACTTCACCTCTAACAATGTTTATATATAAACGTCAGCTCTAACACTGTTTATATATAAACTTCAGCTCTAACAATGTTTATATATAAACTTCAGCTCTAACACTGTTTATATATAAACTTCAGCTCTAACATTGTTTATATATAAACTTCAGCTCTAACATTTTTTATATATAAACTTCAGCTCTAGCACGGTTTATATATAAACTTCAGCTCTAACATTGTTTATATATAAACTTCAGCTCTAGCATTGTTTATATATAAACTTCAGCTCTAACATTGTTTATATATAAACGTCAGCTCTAGCACGGTTTATATATAAACTTCAGCTCTAACAATGTTTATATATAAACTTCAGCTCTAACAATGTTTATATGTAAACTTCAGGTCTAACACTGTTTATATATAAACTTCAGCTCTAACACTGTTTGTATATAAACTTCAGCTCTAACACTGTTTGTATATAAACGTCAGCTCTAGCACGGTTTATATATAAACTTCAGGTCTAACATTGTTTATATATAAACTTCAGCTCTAACACTGTTTATATATAAACTTCAGCTCTAACACTGTTTGTATATAAACTTCAGCTCTAATATTGTTTATATATAAACTTCAGGTCTAACATTGTTTATATATATAAACTTCAGCTCTAACATTGTTTATATATAAACTTCAGCTCTAACATGTTTATATATAAACTTCAGCTCTAACATTGTTTATATATAAACTTCAGCTCTAACATTGTTTATATATAAACTTCAGCTCTAACATTGTTTATATATAAACTTCAGCTCTAGCATTGTTTATATATAAACTTCAGCTCTAACATTGTTTATATATAAACTTCAGCTCTAACATTGTTTATATATAAACTTCAGCTCTAAATTGTTTATATATAAACTTCAGCTCTAGCATTGTTTATATATAAACTTCAGGTCTAACATTGTTTATATATAAACTTCAGCTCTAACATTGTTTATATATAAACTTCAGCTCTAACATTGTTTACATATAAACTTCAGCTCTAGCATTTAACGAAATAAACGTCACGTGTTTATTTAAATACAGAAGAGAATCCATTCCTGATAAGCTCCCATCTCTGTGGTATTAAATGTTTTTCTTTCACGCATTTTTTATTTTTGTTTCTTACATTTATTTGAAACGCATTACGTACATACAAGTACAAATGTTTAATGTTTTACTGTCGTTAAAAGCCACACCCTTATATATATAATAATGAAGAACGCCCTCTATCGTACACTAGGATTTTTGAACTCCATGTTATTACATTTTTACCAAAAAGTGACAGTCAAGTTAATATTGAAAACGATCGTATTCGAGAGTCTATTTTCTTATACTCTCGTTCCTTTCCTGTTCTTGTGCTCCTTATCTTACTGAGGCTTACTTCAAACTTCAATTATTAAAACATACAAATACTTGCGTACGTAAATATAAATTATTTATAACATACTGTTTTAAATAAAAGCAGTTAAAACCTCATACTTTCAAACTCAACTTACCAAACTCAACGTTGTATTCTCAGAGACGCACTGTTTTTCTCTGTCTGTTAGGACCTCTTGAGTTCTGACCATCAAACTTTTCCCGTTTTGTTTTAAATGTTTGGCTTTGGCTCGTTGTTTGGAAAATCCTCCTTGAATCTTTTCAAGGGGATTCTCTTTCTTCTGTAACTCAATAAAATCAGTAATAGCAGTGTTTTTTGTCGCAGAAGTTTTGTCTAAAGATTGGTCATTTTCTAAACGAGTAGTTTATACAAGAAATTTGTGACAAAAGCATATTTTCACACACACACACAAATTTGGTACTTCTTGCCATACACACCTATTATAAACCAGTCTTTTAAGATAAATACATCAAGCACTTTTTAAAACTGTGACCATCATTTATGCAATATTCATTAAGAGTACAGAAATTTTTTGTTTGTAAAGTTTTAGTAAAGTGTGAATTTGACCTTTCTTGTATTACCATTGTGAGCTAGCTTAGGGTCAAGATGGCTTACTGTGACGACCAGTGTTCCGACTTATTAATATTTTTCATTTTGCTTCTAAGACGTTAACAGGTGCTTATTAAACTTAATTTAAAGAGAGAACAATTCTCCAGATCGAACTGCTACTGGTCACGGAGCCGAATGTGACGAGTGCATACAATGATCGTAGTTCTCAGCAACCACAAACAAAAAAGTGTTAGTTCTAAGTAGGAATAGGCAACTTTGTTTCAATCCCTAAGGCACAACATAATTTATTATTACGCGTCAGTGAACCTAGCGTGTCATTTCCGAACTGTAAATATTCTACAGAATAGAAATTAAAGAGCAGTAGCTGATACTACAATTGTTTTGTTTGTTTGTTGTTGTTGTTGTTTTTTGGTTATGTAAATGGTGTAGATAACAATCATTTACTGACTTTTTATTTTTAACGGAATAACAAGAAAACTCAAACAAACACCATTAAGTAAAACGAATCCGTTGAAATTAATTCGATATGGTTCGAAGCGCCCGTTTCAACATACACACGTACTTCACTTTTAGAATCTTTTAGCACGAGTCTATCTTGATAGGCTTAGCTCGAGTACATTTCGGGACAGTTGCAGTTGTATTATCGCCTCTCACTTATAACCTATAGAATTAGACTGGGTTTCTAGAAGGCAAAAATAAGGCGACGTATCTGTTAATTTTAACGATTTTTCATTGAAATCCACACTATGTCAAATGTCCTTTAAATATTTTACATAGTTCTATCGCTAACCTTTCAATTCTATGCATATTATTGCGACAGCGGAGGTCACGTGACTAGTATCACGCCACGTTCTTCTCGAACGTTCACGTCCCTTCCTTAATTGTCGAGAACCTACCAGATAAGTCGTAGTCTTGTATATATAAACTGGTAAGAACTGAACGTAAGGTAATGTGTAATTGAACTGCGGAGAGAGAATATTGTTGAGCACGTGAGACGTTCGTTGTGAGTTATAGCGTTTGTTATAGCGCGACTGTTGAAATTAAGTGTATTGCAAAGTTGTATTCAGAAAGAATAACCCAGTTTTATTTAAGAAAGGACTTGTATCGGTAAAGTTTCTTCAGAAAGAATTTTTACGAAAAATTAACTAACAAACGGAAACGTAACAATATTTAACAAATTTAGTTTTTTTGCGACAGATTTCTGTTTTAGAAGTTTTATAAAAGAAATTGAAATACGTTACATTAATAACTTCAACTTCTAACACTAATAATAACATCTAACATGATCTTATGAAGTTATGCCTACAGGCTATAATTACAAAGTAAAGCAATTTTCTTGGTTTAGCGTTTAAAAATATAGATTTTTATCAATTCTGTTAAGTTCTTTTAACGTAGTTTGGGTCTATCTTGTTGAAATACCTGGATACTTGCTTGAAGTTTATGCAAGTTTGATGTGAGCTCGTCATTCTTTTTCTTCAACTTCTGGCCTTCTCGTAGTTTTGGGGGTCGTTTTCTTTCTCTTTCTAACTCCATCTGATTTTTCTGTAAATGTTACACACAAACAATCAGTTAGGCCTACAGTGAGTTAGCCCTAACTTTGGTGTATGAAGTAGTTTGTAGATAACAGTGACTTAGTCCTAATTTTTGTGAGTAAAGTATTTAATAGTTAACAATGAGTTAACCCTAACCAAATTACGGAAAGTATTTAGAAGTTAGCTGCGTACATTGACGTTATCTTTAACTATAATATAAGAATTAAAAAATAAAATTTAACTATTTAAATACTAGGTGGTTTGAGTTAATAATAATAATCCATGAACAATCGATGCCACAAACAACGTTACTCATCCCTGAACAAACGAAGTCTTGCTACTGAGGGACAACGTTAGTCATCCCTAAACAAACGAAGTCTTGCTACTGAATGACAACGTTACTCATCCCTAAACAAACGAAGTCCTGCTACTGAATGACAACGTTACTTATCCCTGAACAAACGAAGTCTTGCTACTGAATGACAACGTTACTCATCCCTGAACAAACGAAGTCTTGCTACTGAGTGACAACGTTACTCGTCCCTGAACAAACGAAGTCTTGCTACTGAGGGACAACGTTACTCATCCCTGAACAAACGAAGTCTTGCTACTGAGTGACAACGTTACTCATCCCTGAACAAACTAATTTTTAACTTTTGATGCCTCAACTCTTCTACAAGCTATCATTTGTTTATCATTCAGTCCGAACGAAAATAAGGCTGGTATCTACACATTATTGTTGGTGAAACTTTAAGTGTATCCCCTTGTTACAGATACTCTTTTAGGATTACGCTTGTTCCTTTGTAATCATAAACCGTAAGAACAAAGTTACTGAAAAAATGTTCACGAAGAAAAACTTTTTGATTACGTTCAAAATTGAACGAATTTATTATTATTTCTTCGGTAAAGACATTACTAAAAATATTGTATATTTATGCAGGAGCGGATCCAGAGGATTGGTTAAGGGAGTTACATCCCTATATATTTTAGGTATGTATGGGCCGGATTCTTTACAGTAGGTGTCTGTGACTTGCTGGCGATAAATTTCAACAATAAACAAACAGTACACAGCCCCCTTGTTTTAAAACAAAAGGGAATCTTCAATAACCGCGACACTTGTAATTCTTTTAGGCAGGATTAGGGTAAACTTACCAATAAGACCTTCCCCCTCACCTTCTTATTAACTATATTTTTATGCGCAAGCAATACCAAGCGTGGGGCGCGAGTATACCCAGTTCGATTTTATTACACATCCGAATCTTTACCATCCCACCCTCAAATTGAAAACATTTTAGGCAGGATTAGAGTAAATTAATCTTTTTGACCTTGGACGTGGTCAAATTCATCAATCGAAAAGGTTTGACCTCCTGGGTCCAAAACTGTAATTAGATCTCAAATTGGTCAAGAGATGGAGCTATGATCTAAACGTTTGTACTTGAAAGAAACACAGAGCCATTGTACGAGCCGTGGCTAATAATACATATATATATATTAAAACAAGTTAAACGTACACATACAAATGTTCATTACAGAGTTAATTACCACAGCTGTATCCAGAGCTTTAAGTGCCCCAGCGGCACAGCGGTATGTCTGCGGACTTACAACGCTAGAAACCGGGTTTCGATACCCGTGGTGGGCAGAGCACAGATAGCCCATTATGTAGCTTTGTGCTGAACTTCAAACAAACAAACAAGAGCTTTAAGTAATCGTCTCTTTTCGTAAAAGTTTTCACAGGCTGGTTTAGTTATTTTAGAACACAACTGACAAGACTAATTATTCTGCTCTGCTCTGTTATTACAATACAGTCGGTAATAATTTCACTTTAAAAATCACTACTATATGCTCTAGATCTACTATCTATCTAGAGGTCTAGAACATTCCACACACTACGAGATATTATGATGCGATAATACTCAAATAAAACAATGAGAAACACGTAGAAGGTTCTAGTTACATGACGCAATAATACAACAGTTGCAGTTCACAACAACTGAACTACACAACGTATCATTTGTAAACAGTTATGTAAGCAAGCCTGCGATAAACTATCGTTTCTAAAAAAGAACTAAATTTAACACTTTTGTTATACTTAAATTGAAACAGTTGTGTACATCTAACAATCCATTTTCAGGTGAAATGTAAAAAATAACCTTAAATCTAATAAAAAGCGATATTTTTTTTACCGAAAGCTTTCAAAACCTGGTGAAAGACCCCACTCCCTCCTCCTTTTGAGCATAACCTGGATCTTCCCCTATCACAGTTGTCCCCCACGTGTTTTGTTCATATTTTGTGCGCGTTTAGGTTTATATGTGATGCAAGAGTTAATTGTCATGTGCGACCCGTGTTTACTTAGATATTTCGTGTACACGTGTTTCTATAACTGATGCTTCTCAACGCATGCGCATGTGACGAGTTCTTTTATCGCATGTTCTCTGCTGTATCTTTACTGCGTTTTACGTCACTAAAGGGTGACAGAACCATATGGTATTCTAATGTGGGACCTTGCGTTCACGAATCTCACTTGGTGGTAACGCTACCGTTACCACTGTCCGGTTCAAATAACACATTGCTAAAATGACTAGAAATAGCGGTGGGAAATATTTCCATGGAGATGTACCATGGTAACGAGTTTTGATGATTGGAATTTACTTATCGAAAAGATGTTTGTGCTTCACGTATTTAGACAATTTCATCATCAGTTTATTGATTCGATTGATTAGCATAGAGCAATAAAGCACTTGGGTAAACAAACTTAACTGCGCCATCTAGTACTGTATTGTGTCGACACTGTAGTTTTACGGAGCCATGACAAGATGAGAGCTATGTAGTCTACGTACTCTGTAGTTTCATGGAGTCATGATTACAATTATAATGTCTACATACAACTGTAGTTTCATGGAGTCATGATTACAATTATAATGTCTACATACAACTGTAGTTTCATGGAGCCATGATTACAATTATAGTGTCTACATACACTGTAGTTTCATGGAGCCATGATTAGAATTATAGTGTCTACATACACTGTAGTTTCATGGAGCCATGATTAGAATTATAGTGTCTACATACACAATCACAGTTTGGGGATCGTTTACTGAATACGGTTCTCAACCCATAACAATCACAGTTTGGGGATCGTTTACTGAATACGGTTCTCAACCCATAACAATCACAGTTTGGGGATCGTTTACTGAATACGGTTCTCAACCCATAACAATCACAGTTTGGGGATCGTTTACTGAATACGGTTCTCAACACATAACAATCCCAGTTTGGGGATCGTTGACTGAATACGGTTCTCAACTCATAACAATCCCAGTTTGGGGATCGTTTACTGAATACGGTTCTCAACCCATAACAATCACAGTTTGGGGATCGTTTACTGAATACGGTTCTCAACCCATAACAATCATAGTTTGGGAATCGTTTACTGAATACGGTTCTCAACCCATAACAATCATAGTTTGGTGATCGTTTACTGAATACGGTTCTCAACCCATAACAATCACAGTTTGGGGATCGTTTACTGAATACGGTTTATATTTTCATCTTATAGGAAGAAAGTTTTGTTACTTGAGTCATGAAGCTACTAGACGAACAGATTAATTAGCCTCTCTCTTTTTTAATTGAACTTTACATAAGAAGGGTACGTTGTTTGAGAAAGCTAACTCAGCAATATTGACTTCTAAGATGGGTTATCATTCCCTCGAACATACTCCTACAAGTTCCCCAGATGGTCAGCGGCAGGTTAATGCACTTACAATGCTAAACTCCGGGGTTCGATTCTCCAATGTGGGCAGAACAATCGCTATACAGTTATCCAACTGCAGATTTTCACATAGTTTCTCTACCAGTTGAAAGTTCACGCACCTTTGTTCTTCTCCTGTTTTCTTCTACATTACAAGAATTTAAAAATTAATATCATTTGTAATAAACAAATTGTACTTTACAAACAAAACATTTTGTAATTTCTAAAATCTCGGTTCGACCGATCTCATCGTTTCCTTCCTTCGAGACAGTTGTAATAGTTCTAATTATATTTTAAAATGGTTTTTCCCCCTTAATTACTTGTCGGTTTCTGGTAGAGAGCGAATCTATAATACTTGAGGGTTAGTTTTACATTATTTAAGAATATATCCGCTGATATCATTTTTCAAAATGTTATTTAAACAAACGTGCTTAAAGATAGCTTACAAAACAAGAAGGGGGTATGTTATGGTACTGGGTTTTAGATTTTTGTGAACTGTGACCCAATTAGAAAGGCTTCAAATAATAATTTAAAAATAACGTTAAGTGAAATCGTAATGTTAATATATCATTTACTGTGCTACCATCTAGTGAGTATTATTCAAGTTAATCAAAAATGCAATGCATGAAGCAGAGTCAGTGCTATATAGAGTTAATAACTATCTCATCATAGAGCGCTTTGTAGGTAATTAGCTAAGACAACGAGCATTCGGTCTTCATAGGAACAGAAACAGTTAGATGTTTCACTTCTGTATGACAGAAGAGAAAACATTAGAGTAAGTCAGAGCTGCGCAACGATAATTATGTCCGGAGCACTCTCTGGAGAAATGATAAATACGTGGGATGCACTCTTTATAAAAATGATAATTACGTCAGTTGCACTGTTTATAGAAATGATAATTACGTCTGGAGCACTCTTTATAAAAATGATAATTACGTCTGGAGCACTCTTTATAGAAATGATAATTACGTCTGGAGCACTGTTTAGAGAGATAATAAGTATACACTTTTTATAGAAATTATGTGTCTTTAGATCTAATTGTAACTAACAAATACCAGAAATATATGATTTCATCTTTAATAACTTAGAAATTACGAAAAATATTAATTTTGTTACGAAATCTTTCTCAAACATCGTAAAAAGTAACTGTTTCTATAAATTCCTAACACAATCTGCAAAAGTTTCGTTAGATCATTCAAACTATACGTGATCCTATTAAACATCACACTGCCTACAAAACGCCAAACAATGCC